GGAAAGCTGAACTGCTGGGGAAGTTTCTCCCCAGCCTTCTAGATCGCTTAAGCATGAGGGTGTTAGCCTCTGCATAATAGCTATGATCATATTAAAGTTTGTTCAATACTCTTTAGCTCTCTGAAAATAAGTTACAAATTATAACCTAGAGTATATTGTTTACTTTAAAGACATTGAGCTTTCAGAAATATTTTCAAGATTGTATAATATATCAGTGTAAGGATATCCACAGCCTAAATTCCACCACTCTAAATGGTACATACTATTTCCATGTAACAAAGAGAAAAACTGAAGATCAGGGAGACTAGGTTATCCAAGGTCACCGAGTACCAGTGGAAAGTAAAGTACGAATGGAAGTTTGTGTGACCCCCAATTCATGCTATTTCTCCTCCAGCACACTCTCACTCAGACAGACACAAAGTTCGCCACCAGGGAGCTCACAGCCGGGAACTCCACGCACAATAAGGCCAAAAGAAAAGGGTGCGATGTTTCAGTACTAAACAATGAGAACACAGTCATATGTTTCTTACGTGATAAAGCAAAAAGAATGTTTTAAAAAAGAAAATGTGAGGATCACAAGAAAGGCAAAGGTTATTAGATTAGAAAAAGAGTACAAAAGTGGAAAATACATTTAGAAAAGATGTTATTTTAGGTGTTGAAAATAAATATGACTGTGACATGCAGAGTGAGATAGGACACTTCAGGCAGGGAAAGGAACTCAAAGACACACACACACACACACACACACACACACACACACACACACGGAAAACACAAGGCACTTACATAAAACAGTGAACAGTTCAGATCTGCCAACTCAGGGTTTCCTACATTTCCCTGACAAGAATCACAGGGAATTCAACTAAAGCACAGCTTCCCAGGTCTCCGCCACTGTCAACTCTGATTAAATAGGTCTGAGATGGGTCTAGGAATTTAATTTTTTAAAAAAAATACTGTAAGTGGTTCTTATCAGCAGGGAAGTTGAAGCAGTATTATGCTGAAAGGCAGAGTTGGCAAAGGGGAGTCATGAAAGCAGAAGCTTGAAATAACAGGCCGAAGAATTTGGCCTTATTACTATGGTCAACAGAGCGCAACTGTAACATCTTAACGAGGCTTCAGGAAGACTGCTCCGAGTGATGAGTGGAAGGGAAGGAAGAGAAGGGAGAGGGGAGACCAGTCTGCAGACTATGGCAGCAGCCGAGGCTGGAGGTAATGAAGGCCCAACAAGGGGAGTGGCAAAAGAAATTAAAGGGTGAAAGAGATTTGTGATACATCATGGATGATAAATTAGTAGAACAGTACAGCTAACTAGTTATAGAGAGTAAAAATAAGAAAAAAAGTCAGAACTGAATCTAAAATACTTTAGAGGATATTGATACTAGGGAATGGAAAGAAAAGTCATAGGGCAGAGAGAAGTTTGAGGAGAAACTGTAATGAATTAAGCCTTAGCCAGGGCTTGGGTAACTGGTGGGATTTTCAGAGAGCTGTCCAGTAGGTAGCTAAAGAAAGAAGAATAAGCCAGCTGGGAGACATGGATTTGAAATACTGCCATTTGGGACTACATGGATAGACCTTGAGAATATTATGCTAATTGAAATAAGTCAGGCAGAAAAAGCTAAGCACCCTACATGAGATATAAAACGGCAACTTGTAGACACAGACAACGGTACGGTGGTTACCGGAGAAAGGGGGGCAGGGGGTGGTAAAGGATAAAGGGAGAAGATATGTGATAATGGAACATGATTTGACTTTGGGTGGTGGGCACACAATATAATATACAGATCATATATCATAGAAATCAACACTTAAAAACTGTATGATCCTATTAACTAATGTCACCCCAATAATTTTAGTTAAAAATATGAGTAATCGCCCTGGCTGGTGTAGCTCAGTGGATTGAGCATGGGCTGTGAACCAAAGTGTCGCAGGTTCGATTCCCAGTCAGGGTACATGCCTGGGTTGCAGGCCATGACCCCCAGCAACCGCACATTGATGTTTCTCTCTCTCTCTTTCTCCTTCCCTTTCCTCTCTAAAAATAAATTAATTAAATCTTTAAAAAAATATGAGTAATCCAGGCAAGAGATACAGATTTGAGAGTCAAAAACAAAACTATGATAATTTTCTCAGAGCCCACCCTATTAAAGAGTCAGATGAGAAGTACGATGACACCCTACTAGGGTTATATTGCTCATCTGCTCAGGGACCAGAGGGTGCAGTTTCTTGGCAAAGAGAAAAGCATTGACTTAGTCTTTCTACAGTTAGAAGTGTTTTTCAGGTTTAAGAACAAGCATAAAGAGCAAGCTGGCATTATTTATGGTGGTATCCCCTCACATATCAACCTTATGGCAAGCACAAATTGCTTTTGGAGTATCAAGTTTACTATATTCAGTATAAGGTAAACATATCTTTTTAAAAACTTTGTGCAACAGTAAGCAGCAGAAGGAAGATAAGCTTTCAACATTTAATACATGCTATTGTTACAAATAGGAAAAAAATTAAACTAATTTCTTAGTAAAGTCAGCCTCAAAGTAATTGTGAACAAAACTTACTTTAGACCAGATACTTAATTCAACAAAAAAATACTGACAGAAAAATCCCCTTCTCCTGCTCTTGATCTCCAAGGCTGCTCATCACACAGAATCCAAGACCCTGTGGGAGTTAGGGAAGGGCAGAGACCAATTGCACTGGACTGCCTTCCACCCCACAATGCTGTGCTACCAGTGAAATTTCTCACAAGCCTTTTAGATGGTTTGCAATTGAACTAGGCAGCTTCTGCACCATTCAAAATCACATCACAGACTTAAATAGCTATAGAACCCTAACTTCAAATTTCTGATTCCACCATGTCCTAAGTACATGGTCTTGGACAAGCAATGTAACCTCTCTGAGTATTGGTTTCTTCATTCACAAAATTTGTGTATCTCATGGTTATAAATATTACATAAAATAAATATTTGGCATAGGTAGCAGATAAGAAAATAAATTAATACAATGAAGTGTAATAAATGCTTTTAAAGGCCAGAGACAGACTATCCCTGAAAGAAATTAGGCTCAGTCTGGGTAGGAGTTGGTTGGGAAAGGGAGGTAGAGGTAATCAGGAGATGACAGAACAGCTGAATCTTTCTTTTCTTTTTTTTTTTCTGAACAGCTGAATCTTTTTTTATTTTTTAATTGTTGTCCAAGTAGAGTTTTCTGCCTTTCCCCCGCCAGCCCTCCCCACCACTCCAGCCCTCCCCCATTTCCACCCCTCCTTGTTGTTGTCTATGTGTCCTTTATGATTGTTCTTGTAAACCCTTCCCCTTTTCCCCCATTATCCCCTCCCCTCTCCCTTTTGACCACTGTCAGCCTGTTCTGAATTTCAATGTTTTTGGCTATATGAACAGCTGAATCTTAAAGGAAAAACAAAAATTAGCCACATAAAGGAGAGAGCACACTCCAAGCACAAGGAAGAATCAGAGGTAGGAGGGCTGGGAGGAGGCATGAGGATGCAGGAAACTTGACATCCTTAGAAAACATCAGTGAAAGGAAAGCCAGGCAATTTCCAGATTTAACATTTGCAGTTCTGTCCATTTACAAATACACCCACAGGATCGTGACACATAACTCTTTCATCTTAACGAGGCACAGATTTGAACCATGAATAATGTAAGACTAGTGCACTGACATCTAACAAAGATGGCTTTATTGGGTTGACAGCAATATTGGTGATACTGACGAGGAATAGGGAAGGACATTTTCATGTAAAGATGAATTTAATTTTGACAGCTGAAGTAGAGATACCTCCTAAGGACAAATCAGAATGAAAAGAGCCGAGATAAAATATTCAGCTTTGTCACCTCTTTCAGAATATTAGTATGCAGGTGATAACTAAATCACATTATCAATATTTCATTCAAGAATACTGAAGTCAGCAAGAAAGATAATTCTGACCAGAATATTTCTTATACATGCCCACTTTAATTCAGTTTTAATGCAAGGGGTATAAGTAGAGTGCTTACTACATGCTCAACATTAGCCTACCAAACCCATGCTCAATGGTGAGGGAAGAAATGCACATGGATAAAGATGTAAAGACAAGGGTAGCAACAATGTGCCTTTAAGCCAATGCTATTGTTAGTGTCAGTAAGAAATAGATGACTATGTTAAGCAAGCAAGGCAGTGCTAGGTATAGAGTTTTAATTACTACGATAAAGAGTTTGAACCTAATCCTTTAGATCTCAGTGTTCAGTAACTGTCAAGAAAGGAAGACATGTCAGATCTTTGGGAGTAAAAACCCTTTAAATGATTTCTTGGAGTGTACTTATCAGAATCATTGCTCTAAACAAGGGCGGGGCACTGTACGTGTTTCTGCCATGAGCACTGTGCTGAAAGTAATACTGAGCAAAACCACACTTGAAGGTCTATGGGAAGCACTGGTGGGGTAAAAGGCCAGGAAGCAATGTATAATCCAAAGACAAGGATTTTATAGTGAGATTGATGTAGTTTCAAATTCCAGTTCTAGCTACCTTACTGGTTCTGTGACTCTAAGCAAATTACAACCCATCTATACCTTAATTTATTCATGGGTAAAGTAAGGAAAATAATACCTATCTTAAAGGGCTGTGATGAGAATTAATGAAATGAATAAGTATATATGAATATTAAAATGAATATAAGAACTTTGGTCTATCACTGTTTATTATAATCATCATCATCATCATCACCTAGCAAAGACAAATAATAATTAAAATCTGAAACATAAAGTTCTTTAACTTTAGTTCTGACTATAAGAAAAATTCAGGTCTTAAAAAAAATCACTACAATTTTAAGAGGGCATATGTTCTCAGAAGTTACAAATATTACTGACCATAAATCATTTTACAAATTAATACAATGAACATTTCCTGAATGTGCACCACGTGAAATGTGCTGTGCTGTGTACAGTGGAGAGACAAACACGAATAAGAGATAAACCCTAATTTCTTTTATAATTCAGAACAAAGGGCAAATTCAAGTTTTACCTGACTGACTCGATTTACTTCCTCCTCTTCTTCCTCAGCTTCCTCTCCAAATGAAAGTAAACTAAAATTTCTAATTAAAAAGAGGAAGAAAGGAAAACAGAATAAAAGAAAATCAGCAAGAAAAAGTTAAATAAAACATAAATATGCTATTTTCAAAAAACAGACTAGAACTTACAAGAAGAAACACATTCTAACCATCTAACAATAGGCAATATTACTTAGTATTCAGTAGAAATACACTAAGGATCCATGTTTTCAACATAGTGTTACGGTTTCGGCCTTACACCACAGATGTTTCCTATGTTAGACTAAACTAACGGCCAAAAATCCATTCTGAGCACTACCATTAAATAACTAAGTCAGGTATGACAGAAATAATTAAGCTTTTTATATTTATCAAAACTGGTTAGCAAAATGAAGACTTCTAAAAAACTAATATATTACACTACAAATGGGAGGCAATTAGTCTGATGTCTCCTAAAATATGGTTTAATATTTTAAAACTAGTAAGGTAAAAGAAAATTATTAAGTAAAAAAATAAGCAAAATAAGCAATAAACTTAATTTTAAAAAGTAGCCCATGGGGAGAGAAAAACTAAGTGTCTTCTTTAAGCCTTCAAACCAAAGATATCCCCAGGATGATCAATAATACATGACTAAGAGTTTTCCTCAAATATTGGAAAAATAAAAGATATGATAACAAAAGAAGAATTTTTATTTCAAAGCCTAGATGCAATCAATGACTACCATATCATCCCTAATATATTTACTATGAATTGAAAACAAAAATAAAAACACCCAACTTTTAGATTTGTTGTCAAGATAAATTATAGAAATAAAATACTGTATTTGAACATAGAGTGACCTTTCACTAAAAGATAAATTACTCAAAATAAATGAATCAAAATGTAAAAAGAAATCAAATATATAGATATATATATGAAGTTACTTTGCCACAAGACATCAACTGTTTATTAAAATGTCTGCTTCATATCTGAGAGTTTACAAAAGCAACTTAACTCACTTACATTGGTGGATGTCAAGGAAAAAAATGATTATGTACTGAATACTATACTACTGGGCATTTTCAAATTTAATTTCTAAAATTAAATTCTCATTTAATCTTCATGACAACCATGTATTTTATTTATTTTAATCTCCATTTTATTAGATGGGGGAACTAAAGGCCAAAAAGGTTAATAAACTTTGCTTCTTAGGCAGGATTATACTTAGAACTATCTGAATCTAATACTTTAAGTACATTAAATCCCTAATATAGATTCTACAATTCAATAAATTGTAGAATGAACTGAATGAACTGAAATCTAACTCTCTGACATCTATTTTAATAAAACAAATAATATAAATACCATTCATAAAATCCTGGAACTTATTATAAAAAGAAATTTCTACTTTTTGAAAACTATCCTAAGAAAATAATTCAGATACAGAAACAGCGTCCTGTTTAAAAATAGTTATAAGATTAATTTAATAGCACCAGAAAAAGAATGAAAAGTTATGTGAACATTCAGTCATATCCTTCATAGCTTACTTTCCAAGCTCCTTATACTGAGAATATATTAACTGAAAAATCAAGTAAAAAACAAAAAATTCTCAAGAACTCATTTATATAAATAATTACTATAGTAACCCTATCTATTTATATTAACGCAGATTTTATATGGACATCTGAGACAATACTTAGCTTAAGTTTAAGTTATATACTGTATTTGGACACAAAAAATGCCCACTTAGAAAAAAAACACACACATTCATAATTCAAATATCTCCCTGGTCCAAACTGGCTGCCCTCTTACTAGCAAACAACTTTTACAAAAGGAAATTAAGCAAACTATACGAATCAGTGTTGCATTTCAAGCTGAAGGAAAATCTTACTACTGTCATTACTTTGTGCCTTTGGGTTTCAATTCCTTCACTTTCTCCTCCGGTTTCTCTTTTTTTGGCTTTTTTATTTCTCTTGGAATGATGTCATCAAAAGGATTAAACAAAACCTGTGAAAAGGAATATGTTGGAAACATTATTCCATTTTTAAAACTTCAAAAACCAAAAACCAGTCTTTAACCGAGGTGGCGTCAGTGTCTGTGTGGTTTGCTCACACAGCCACCACCAGTGCAGCGAAACGGACACCACGTCAAGAGCTCACACTTCCGTGGGCTCACTGGGTTATCGTATAACCCCACACGCTATTAAGTAAAGGACACTTTATCCCTATTTTACAAAAGGAAAAAATATCTAAGAAAATTTTATAGATAATAACAGAGACAAAAATCAGGTGTTTTGACTCCAAATCAAATGTTCTTCAAGACCACCCCCAATGGCTTCCACTATGAAGGGTCACTTTTGACTTACTGAGGAAGTCACTTCCTGGGTTAAATAAACCTAATGCCTCTAGCTTTCCATTCTGAATTAAGCTTTTCAGTCATTGGATTATCAGCTAAAGTTTTATCTTAGAATTCAAGACCTTTAATTAAAAAAAAACTTCTTCATCAGAAACTGTGCCTAAGTTACAGAGATAAAATCTGAGTTGTGACTTAATTTAGTATAAAGCCTTCACCTGATAGTTTAAAAACAGTAATAATCAATTTCTCTTAAATGACAATTTAAGTGCTTTATCTAATACCAGTCATGCTCCTACCTCACAACTTTTTATTTTGTGTGGATTAAGTGGTCTTTCTTCATCATCGGTGTCTACTTCTGCCAGTCGCAGCATGTTATATATTGTGTCCCCCGTAACCTATCAAATTAAAATAAAAATTTAGCAAATTATTACATTCATTCTTTTAAATAAGGGAACACTTTGAAAATACTTCATATTGTTATATAAGAGCATATGCATTAATTAATTAATGCAAATAAAGCAACTTCATCTTAAGAGGAAATAGCATACATGAAATTCCACCCCTCAGTAAAATGTTTGGGAAATTTCAAATATATACTTAATATCACCTTTTATTAAAAATTAAAATATAGCCCTGGCCAGGTAGCTCAGTTGGTTAGAGCACAGTCCCAATATGCCAAGGTTGGGGTTCAATCCTGGGTCAAGACACAAATAAGAATCAACCAACGGGTGCATGGATGGGTGGAACAACAAATCAATGTTTCTCTCTTTCTCCCTCTCAAATCAATAAAAAAAAGAAAGAAAAGAAAAAAAGAAAAACTAAAATATAATGCCAAATAGCCTCTTACTGAATGATAACTTTTCATTCAAACATCATAAACAAATGTAGACTTCAGAGTAGGGTAGAACAAGCAAATAATAACAATGGGGTAAGTACTTTGCAGATATTACCTCATTTAATCCTCACAAACACCCCAGAAGTAGGTACTATCATCATCTTCCTTCTCCAGATAAAAAACTGAGGTTCAAAGAAGTTCTAGAGCTGAAAGCAATGGCCTTTCAGAATGCTAACCATTATGCTCTACTTTATCTCTGATACATAAGTCATATAACATCAACTATAAACAATGGTGCAGAATGCCATCCTAAAACTCATTTTATCATAACTTTGATTATTTTAAGTAATAGGAAATAAAATCTACGAACGTCCAACAGCCCGTGTCAGAGTGGCTCAGCTATGCCAATGCATATTTCTTAACTCACGTTGCTAGTATTAAGCAATAATATTTTACTGCATGCTTTTTAGCTGACTCTTTTCATTCAACATTTCTCAAAAGTTTTAAAATAATACCAACTTTACAGTTGTGCTGTTTGTTTTTTCATCATCACAAAATCCAGCTTTGCCTAGGACCTGGGAAACCATTCATACCGAACCAGCAGAGGGAGCTGATACACTAATGACGTCTAACATGCCTCAGACAAAACATACAGGGATGCAGTATTTATGAGAAGGGAGAAGAGTAAGAAAAGAACCTCCAGAAACTCTTTCCACCGAAAACTATTAAAAATTCTATGCAAATGACATTCCCTGCTATAATGCTGATTGTGTGCAGGATTAAATAGATATTACTGAAAGTAATATTTCAAGCAAACAGTTTTAATGTTAACATAATTTTCACTTTAAACTTAAGGGAATTTATCATTAGAAAAATAAACTTCGTACCATCCAATTTTATTACCTTGGTATCTTTCTAAAAACATAAAAACAGTATGAGCTGAGTGACATAGTAGCTGATACAGTTAGTGTGATTTTAGAAAAAAGAAATATTTAAAATCATAACCAATGCCTTATTGGAAATAAACAAAAATATTCAGGTGGTCCCTCACAGTTCATTATAACCGAGATCTATTCCAGCATATTTGAAGGTAAATAAATATTCTAGGGAATAATTTATGAAGGCAGCTCTTAGATAAGTTGATCATATATATCATAGAAGCCTAATAAAATGAACACAAACCTTTCCAAAGATGGTGTGCTTATTGTTAAGTTCATCTGCTCGACCCAGTGTAAAGAAAAACTGGCTGCCATTATCATGAGGACCAGCATTTGCCATGGCAACCAGTCCTCTCCGATTAAAACGCAACCGTGAGTGGAATTCATCCTGAAGCATAAAAGAGAAAAGATTTAGTGAATGACCTCAGTTAGAAGGCCCTTCATATTCAGCTAATCTGCATGGGCCCCATACAGCTTCTAATAAATACGCTGAAGTTTTATTTAACTGTTTTTCAAATATAATCAAATCCAATGTTTACTATTCCTTCTATTCCTTACTATTCCTATGCTATTAAATTTGACTTCAGTAGCCTGTATGTTCTAAATATGCTCAGCTACAAATTTAGCCTATTTCACAGAAAGCTGCCTACTTACATAGAGAAAAGGTACTTAAAAGGGAATAGATTTCTAAGAGCTATTTCCCAATTTTTGCCATCCATCAAAGTCATCTAAGCTTACAGAACCTCTACTTTTTCCCCAAGAAAACTACCTTTGAATCACTGCACAGTCTGCAACTATTGCCCCTCCTCATCCCATTCTAAAAGTCAGGAAACAACTACTTTCTTCTTTTTTTAACTCAACAAATCTACTATGGTTATGTTATGTGCTTTACTGTGTTTTTTAGAGTACTAAGTTGAATTTTTTCTGAATTGGCAATGGTCGCATGTGCCATTTTTTAAAAGGCCAGTAGCAAGCCTGTTTAAGGTGGTTCTCTTGCTATGGTCAGACTACATAACACATACATTAGTTTTTTAGTTATTGGATTTTCTATCCAGGCCTGATACTAGACTCATTTATACTACAGCAATGTTATATAATCAATGCTTTTCAGAAAGGAAGTTATTTTCCCTCAATTAATAATTTTCAAGAGATTTGAACTCAAAGGATCATAACTATGTATACATTAAAAATGACCTAATTGGAAAACTGACCAAAATAAGTTATTTCTTGAACATGATTAGCAAACATCTCAATTCAGAAATAAATTATCAAAAAGATCTATTCTCTTATACCAAATAATAGAATAAAGGAATGATTCCTACTAGATTGAGGCTCTAAAATCGTACGACATCTCAATCTGGTAAAATATAAATGTCTGAGACACTTTTATGACCATTCCACATTTTCTAAAGACATTATCATCAGGAAATTAAAGCAAACAGTTCAACTATTTTTCTCAAGAATCAGATAGTGAGCCAGTCAAAAATTAAAGGAAACTCTGTCTCATTAGTATAAACATAAAATCTTCAAAAGAAACTCCCATATTTTAAGAGCTGCTAAGGTTTACTCATTCAAAAAACATGATGGTGGTACCATCAGACTGATAAATAATCCAACTTTTAGCTTTTAGTTGAACCCACTGTTATTCTTAAGAATGACATTAACTCTTTTCTTTTTAAGATCCATGTTGGCAATGTACAAATTACTGACTTATTAATATTCACACTTTTTCTCTCACAATTTTATGTTGCTGCTTCTTTTTCCCTTGTGATTTCCTATTCTGGTGTGCATTTTGTGCAACAGAGGTCTATCTATGGTGTAAAATTTAGACTTAACTCTATTATGCACTAAATTGTACTTCCCTCAAATTCATATTTTGAAGCTCTAACGGCCGATGTGACTATATTTGAGATAAGGCCTGTAAGAAGTTGATATGGGTTAAATGCAGTCATAAGAGCAAAGCCCTAATCCAACAGGGCCGGTGTCCTTAGAAGAAGGGGAAGAGACACCAGAGCTCTCCCCCTTGACCATGTGAAAACATGGCAGTAAGACAGCCATCTGCAAGCCAGGAAGAGAACCTTCACTGGGAACTGAATGCCAGCATCTTGATCTTGGACTTCCTAGCCTCCAGAATAGCAGGAAGTAAATTCCTGCTGTTTAGGCCACCCAGTCAGTGGTAGTCTGCTATAGAGGTCCAAGCAGGTTAACACAAAGTTCATACAGTATTAAATAAAATGTTTTAAAATGGAATGGCATATACAACGTTCTAAAAATGTTTTGCATTTACAGAGTTGCAGAGATCAGATACAGGCAGATATCAGGAAATACGTTATATAGTCCTTAATTTTTTACTCATCTTTACCTCTACCTGAATTCAATCTAGCATAAAAGTTTATGATAAGACAATTTAGAAAGAATGCTTGATAGGGTAAGTGCTATTCTTATACCTGCATAATTTTAAATATGTGATAGACACCTGATTTGGGGCACTAATGTGAAATGTATTTTCTTCTTGTGGGGCACAGTCATTTTCAATCAAATAACCCAAGCTGACTTGCAAATGAATAACAATAAGGAATTAGGTCTCACCTTGAATGGGGCTCCATAGATAGACTCTCCACCAGTTCCTGTGCCAGTAGGATCTCCCCCTTGGACTATAAAACCAGGCACTACTCTATGAAAAACGGTCTTGTCATAATATGCTGAAAAAAAAAATTATCAAAGTTTAAAACAAAGTGTATCTATACCAGAGTAAATACAACTAGCGCCATAAGATTCCCCCTCCCCCAAATGTTAAATAGGTTCTTAAACCAAAACCTTTTCTTCCCTACTCATTATAAAATATCTTCTCAAAACACCACATTTTCTACAGAAACCATGGTGGTGGTTGTTTTTGTTGTTTGTTTTACTTATTTCAAGGATTTTCTCAAATTCTGGATTACAATTTTCAAAATAAAAATTAGAGTTTTGGTACATATCAGTGGTTCTTAACTGGGGGCAGAGGGAAACAACTTTGTTCCCTAAGAGATATTTGTCAATATCCAGAAGTACATGGCTGTCACACAGGAGAGACGCTACTGGCACCCAGTGGACAGAGGCCAGGAACATTAGTAAAAACCCTACAAAGTGCAGGAGAGTCACCACAACAAAGAATTACTGGCCCAAAATGTCAACAGTGCAAAGATCGAGAACCCTAGTAGAGACAAATGCCTCATTTCCTAATCTTTCCTCTTCTCCCCATAGAAAATTAACTTCCACAAACAATATAGAAACCCCAAATATATCAAAATAACTCACTGACAATAGGTCTAGCATCATCAGTGCACTGCCCCCGCCCTGAGAAATTTTCAATAAATAAAGAATCAACACAATATATAATTAAGTCAAATCAAACTCTCAGTAAGTTTGCTAAATGATTGAAATTATTTATATTTTATATAGATAAATTATTTGGAAGCCACAGACATACAAGGGGATCGCATATGATCTCCTAATAGTTACTGTCTGGAAGCTAGCATCACTAGGGAGGCTGCACAGAGGAGAAACAGGGAACAGCAGAATCAGGGCAGGTCCATGAGGTAAAGTATGAGCAGACTCTGCTGCAGGTGGAAGGACAAGCATTAGGGTTTGACTGAATCAGAGAGTTAATACTAATAAGTAGCAACAAGGACCAATACGCATAAGAAAAGATTTTTCAGTATCTTTAGTCATGAGGGAAATGCATATCAAAACTACAATGAAAGACTACTTCACACCCACTAAGATAGCTATCAGTCAAAAAAAAAAATAGACAGTGAGGAAAGTGGAGAAACTGGAATCCTCCTCCTTGCTAGTGGGTTGTAAAGTGGCACAGTCACAGGAAAAACTGTACTGATACAATTGCTGAGCTAATTCACGAAGTACCCATTAAACAGGTACTTTGTGACACTGTGAGGTTCAAAACATGACTCTAGTTTATCATAATTCATAAAGCACTACAATGCAGTACTTGCAGGCACCCTCATAATTATTTGTTTTTAAAACAAAGGTGGATATAAAATCCATTTTTCAAAAAAAAAATTATTCTGTAATCTAACAACTTTATCCAGGACATAGGATGGACTGGAAGAAGTAGAAAGGAAGAGCAACGGATTTTTTTCAATCCCTTCTCCCAGTGAGGAACTGTTGGGCTATAATCACAAGAGCTCCCCAGGGCAGACAAGTTCTCCTGAGTTACAAACACACACTGTAAAAACCAAGAGGTGTGAAAGTATCTCTCCTATATCCCTAAGTAACCATTTACTTGGATTAACACTGTATGTAGAGGTAAGGAGGTCTGAGTTTTATTAGGTAACCTTAAATTCAATTTTTTATTGAGATATAAGTGACATATAACAATACATTACTTTTGGGTGGTCAACATAATGATTGGACACATATTCAATATTGTGAAATAATCATGAGTGACAACGTCTAGTTAACATCTGTCACCAGTGTTGTAATTTTTTTCTTGTGATGAGAACTTTTCAGAGCTACTCTCTTAGCAACTTGCAAATATGCAATACAGTATTAACTATAGCCACCATGCTGTACATGTAATTTTCTCATTATAAAACTAAAAATATAGACCTGGCTGGATTGAGTGCGGGCTGCGAACCAAAGTGTCGCAGGTTCGATTCCCAGTCAGGGCACATGCCTGGGTTGCAGGCCACGGCCCCCAGCAACCGCACATTGATGTTCCTCTCTCTCTCTTTCTCCCTCCCTTCCCTCTCTAAAAATAAATAAATAAAATCTTTAAAAAAACAACTAAAAATATAAATTAACTCACAGAGTTGTTCTGAAGATTAGATAATGGAGAGGCAACCTATTAATTTTCAAGTTCAACACAAATATAGTGTCAAACTTGAATATTTTTACTTAAATTCTACAAATTCCTATTCAAATCTGAATGTAAAACATACCCTAGTCTATATCAGAGAATGAAAATAATCCCTTAGGCCCATAATATGCAGTCAATCAACATTTTTTGAGCACATGATCAGGTCTGCTTTATCAAAAGATCACTCAAACTTCCAGAATAGAGAATGGATGGGATGCCAAAAGATGAGAGAGAGATAGAGGGAGGGAAACCACTTTTGTTCTAAGAGTCAAGTCAAAACATTCTTGAAGTGAACAGATTCACAAATTCTCTAGGAAGTTCGATAAGACTCAGAGATCTATTAGATGTAAAGGAAGGGGGACTTAAAGAGGTCTTTATTACTTGTGCTTTCAATTTTTAAAGTTAAATATACTTTTCTCCTATGTCTTTTTTTTGTAAAGATTTTATTATTTATTTTAGAGAGGGGGAAAGGAGGGAGAAGGAGAGGGAGAGAAACATCCATGTGAGAGAGAAACATCAGAGTTGCCTCCTGCATGAGCCCAATTAACACAGACTGAACCTGCTACCCAGGCACGTGCCCTGACCATGAGTCAAATTGGTGACCTCTTGCTTTACAGGACAACACCCAAGGAACTGAGCCTCACCAGTCACGGCTTCTTTTCTCCTATTTCTTATTCTTTCAGTGATGTTAGATTTTTACTTTAAGCTTTTCCCCCCTACTTACAGTCTTCTTGGGTGAATAAAATTATTATAATACTATGTATATTGAGTAGGGATTTTCTATACTTCTCTACACTATAATTTTGTTTATTATCATAGCTAGAATTTCAAATTTTCATACCCACTATTTTTACTTCCTTGTGATTTACTAATAATCACTGTTGAACTATGCATTTATAGTTTTCCATTTCTTTGAAATTTATTATTAAATCACTGTTGAATTACGCATTTACAGTAGTTTTATAGATTACTATGTGCTATATAATAGATTTTGCTGCTTGTAATAATGTTGACTTTCTTTTTAAATTGCATGTATCATTCCTGTAAGTATTTTAAAGGGGTGTTTATTTCATTATGCATGTTTATAATATCCTCCAGAATTTTCTTCACTATTGAAAAAAGAAAATTATATATACCTTCCTTATATATATATATCTTCCTTATTGTAGAAGTTCCAAACTGGCTGTTCTAGTTTTAGTTGTTCCGGTATTAGTTGTTCTAGTTTTTATTTGTGGCTGTACAATCAATGTGTATCATCATCTATTTTGACTGATTATATTTCTGCCCAAGTACACATAGGAGTAAGTACATATGAGGTGATGGATATGTTACAAAACTTGATTGTGGTAATCATTCCACAGTGTACATGTATATTAAGTCATCACATTGTACACCTTTAAAAAATTGTGTTGTATAACTAAATAGATACAATTTTATCAACTGTCCCTCAATAAATCCGAAAAACAAAAAACTCAGGACTTCCCTTTAACTGAATACTGTTTTAGTTGACAGCCCTATCTGAGGCTGCGCTGCCACTTCCTCGTTTTTATTCGTTTACCTTTCAATTATGGAACCATGTTTTCAAGCAAATACTGCCGTGAATGTCACAAGATCTAGGAATATTATTACTGTTAAGAAACCCTTAATACAAATAAATCATAGAGCCAGAGAAGTAAAACGGGGTTCTCTGAATTACGTTTTTTTAAACCTTGGCTTTACTCATTTTGGAGTGTATCGACTTAAATCACTCTGCCCGGACCCCTTGTTGTCCTTTGCAATGGTAGTTTTATCTCTCAACTATTCTATTAAGAGAATTGTTCTGCTTATTTTTCTTATTGTTTTTCTTATTTTCTTCCCGTCTTCCTAGGAAAAGGGGACTAGTTTCCTATTGTTATAATAAGTCTCACCTTCACCTAACTTAAGAAATATATTTCTTCTTCATTGTCATATTAGATCCAGATGTCTTCTGTTTCTTCCATTCACCTGGTCATGGACTGTAACTTACCATTCATTCTTTGTAATGTTTTTGTATTTCCACTCTTCTACTGTAAAATTTGAGCTTTTGATTCTTCAAAACTCCTTTCCAGAAACGAGTCTGACTTTTCTGCGTCTACTCTGTTTCTTAACTTTGTTGACAGTTATTTAAGGCTTCTCTGACTCAACTACCTGTCTGACTCAATTTCCTTCCTGCCTGCCATAGCAATTATTAATAATGGCCTTTGCAGACATCTTTTTTCTTTAGGGGCAGGGTATGGGTATATGTGTTCCTTAAATCTTCCCAAATAACTACCTTAGTCTAATTATCTATTGAGAGAACTCTCCTGTACTCTACTCTACTATTGGATATTTTTGAATTCTCTTTCACATCTTGCTTTTGACTTAAAATGCTGTTTAGAGGATAAAAGAAAGAACTGGAAAATAACCAAGGAGACCACAAAGGATCGAAGTTATCATTTGGTCAGATAGTACATTTCTCTGTTAAAGATACATAGATTTTGGGGGAAAATTTTTTATCTCCTCTCTCTCTTTCCTGACACATGGCTCAACACCACATCACTCATATCAATTCCTCTTGTTCATTACCACTATTTAACATTAGTTTTCAACGTTGTAGATGAATACACTGCAGTTTATTTTTAAAGTAGCGAAGTTTCCCATACAGAATGAAACCCAAGAATTATGATTACCTTCTAAACAAAGCTGAATGAAATTTCTGCAAGCTTTAGGAGCTTCTTTTGACCACAACTCTATATCAATATCTCCAGCTGTAGTTTTCAATAAAACCTGTAGAAAGAATATAACTTCATTATATCAAATCATCCTTTTGCTTGATAATCAGTTGAATGGCCTGTCAACTTGGAGCATTCACTAATGAGTCTTCAATTTTAAAATAAAAATTTGAAGCTTTGCTTGGCTTTTGTTGTTATACTAAAAAAATATCAGCTATTCATACAAGTCACTGTACATTTATAGCTTTCAAATACCATTTTCAGAAATAATTTAAGATTTATAATTTTTATTATTTTTTAATTTAAATTATTTTATAATTTAGGATTTAAGAAAAAACAGTATACACCTCGTTTAATCACAGGAAAAAACACATTCATTAAACAATCAATAATTTAAACTTATTTTAATTAAGACTTTTTTTAAAGATTTTATTTATTTATTTTTAGAGAAGGAAGGGAGGGAGATAGAGAGAGAGAGAAACATCAATGTGCGGTTGCTGGGGGTTATGGCCTGCAAACCATGCATGTACCCTGGCTGGGAATCGAACCTGGGACACTTTGGTTCCCAGCTCGCGCTCAATCCACTGAGCTACGCCAGCCAGGGCTTAATTAAGACTTTCTTTACAGAACTTCCAATAAAACTGGTGTAGCAAATTGAGAAATTAAAGAACAATGAACATATGAAATTGTGACAATATAAGACAATTTTACAATTACACTTTCACATATAAACACTCTACTTTCTCATTAAAAATCATGCCATTCCTAATTTATGAAGGAATAGTCTTAATCTAATTCTGGCTTGTATATTATTACAATGGAATGCCTGAAAATCACCATCTATAGTCAACGGGATCCTTTGATAGCCTACTTTCCACCTGCTCCTAAAGTCAGTTACGCCCTAGCGCAACCAGCCATCTTTCAACAGCCAGAACTCCTACTGAACCCATGGGAGGAAACAGCCTATAACGTCTTATTAATAACCAGAAATAACCAAAAAGAATGTTCAACTCTGAATTTGAACATTGTGGCACAGTGGGGCTTCAATTTCTCTAGGATCACTCTTTCCCCCACAACGTACCGAGGTAGAGCAGTATCAATCAATGATCAGTGGTCAATTGTGACTGTCACCATCATTTTAGAATGTTCTTGCAAATAAAAAGTATGCAGTGTGACTACGTGTTTTAAAACATGAGACTGATTCTCCTGGGAAGTCAGTATCAAGATAATTATTTTGATATTTTTTATTTTCCAAAACTCCTTTACCTAATTTAGACAAAGTTTTTGCAGTTAAGCATCCCCTCCCAAACCTACTACACAGGTGCCCCGAAGAAGTGACAAACTGCCCAGAGTCTGGGAGCCTGTTAATAGCAAAGCAGGAATAGCACTTCTCTTTGCTCCCTCCTCATCCAGTGCACTTTTGGTCAATTGCCTTTCAATTTGTGTTTCAGAAGCCCGGATTATATTGCCATAATTTATATAACATTGATGAGTTTGTTGTATATTTTGGGCTTTTATAGCTCCATCATTCTTTTATAACTATTCTTCAATAAGCAAGGCGTTGGAGGAGGTGGAAATATGTATATTATAGTAGCTTTTAAAATGGATTCCTGAACCCTTAAAGAAACATAAAAGAGCTAGAAATGCAAACGCGCATAATTTTCTCAATGAATCCATTATACTTCCTCTACAAAAAGAAGGGAACATTTGTTGAGTGCTTTCCATGTGTCAGCTTCTGTGGCAAACACTACAAGTCTTATCTATTTTAATCTTCGCCTACAAGGTAGGTACCATTACTCCCATTCTACTTCTAAAGAAACAGAGAGTCAGAGAAAGTACTATATGCAAGGTCTCACAGTGAGCCACTGAAGCCCAAGGCTGTCTGGCTGCGAAGCCCGTGCTTCTTCTAAACCACCATACTGCCTCCACCAAGTTCTCAATGAACTCCTCGCCATACAAGAAAAAATAGTCCATCAAGCTCAAGGGCCTTGCCACAAGTCTAAAAAGAAATCCCCAGTTACCTTGGTCTGAACTGATTTAAGTAGAGAACAGTGCCTAAACCAAAAGCAATCACATACTGGCTGGACATGAGCAAGGTCTTCTAACTAGGCTTGGCATGAAACAATGCCCCAAAGTGATAATCCATATCTCTTACATATGGTGACAAGCCAACCCAACTGGATTCTCACTCTCCTGAGAAGGATATATTTGGGATTCTGAGGGGCTAACTCCTTCTACCTCAGACTGTGTAACACCTGATTTTCCACGAGGTCTGACGTACATCCAATCTTAAAAGTACAGTACACCTAAAAATACAATGTCCTGTCTTACTTCATTATGCCCTCATAAGCTTGAAATAAAGATTGTTAAAGGGAACCTAGACATGTCTTCTCTTCTTTGCAATTCTAAAGCAGTGATCTCCAGGGTTTTTATGAGTGTGCATTGCTATTAGCAAAAAAGAAAAGGTGGGTGGGAGGGAGGTCAGGATTTGGAGCACACATATCCAAAACATGTATATTTAAATACATGTAGTACTATATTATTCTAGTACTGTATTATAAAGGCGTAAGACAAAATAAAAAAAGTAAAGGATTACAAAATAACACTTTTTAAAATAATTCTTAATGTAATTAATTTTCTTTCCTAATGATACAATGAAACCATTTATTTATAATAGCTTTATTGAGCTATAACTCACATGCCAAACAATTCACCCATTTAAAGCAGTTTTTAGTATAATTCAGTTCAGTTCAAGTCACAGTTCTACAACCACCACCATCATCTATTTCCAGGACATTTCATCACCCAAAAGAAGCCCTGTGCCCATTAGCAGTCACTCCCCGTTTCCTCCTACTCCTACCCCATGGTAACCACGAATCGACTTCCCGTCCCTATGGATGTGCCTACTGAACGTTACATACAAATGGAATCATACAATGTGTGGCTTAGGTGCCTGGCTTCTCTCACTTAGCATAATGTTGCTTTCACATTGTAAAGGCCCATCTTCCAGTTCTACGCACTTAATTTTTAAATGTCTTGAAAATCAGAGCAGCTTTATATTCTTAGTGATAAATATGTCAAAGCACAAGGCTAAGTTTACCATTAACAATAATAAATAGAAAATAATATTTTAAGTGATTTTCATAATAATTTATAATTTCTGAAAGACTCCCCATGCTGAGGCATCAGCTCTACCCTTTTCTTGTGGGTTGCTTATGTTCAACCTGAAACTTGCGAGTGCTGGTTCAGTTAATCTAAATGCCGTGGAATGTAGACCCATTTAGCAAGGCATCAGGAAAAATTACATTATAATATGTAAAACGTGACTGACTAACTGAACTTACATGTTCCTTTTTATATATAAAATAGTGCATTTAAACAAATAAAGGAGAAAATAAATACAAACAAGTATGTAGATTTTCTCCCCGTATCTCACGGATGGTCTTGCATACCCCTGAAGTGTGCACCCATTGGTTTAGAAACCACCACTTTAAAAACAAACTAGTGCACATCACCCCACCCCCTCTCCAGGCTCTAGAGTCAGTTGCCCAGATTCAAATACTGAGCCTTTTGCTTACCAAGAGTAACAGACCTTGGGCATGATGTCTATTTCTGTGACTAAATTTCCTTATCTAAAACCAGGAATAAGAATAACCTCATAGGTTTGTTGTGGTGACAAAATGAGTTATTGTACATATGCTCCTTAGAACAGCACCTGACAAATAATAAACGTTTAAAAAATGGGAGCTATTACTGTTGCCATTATTATTTTCATACAGTTTTTTTTGGACACAGGCCACTTACATCTTGTAAAAAGAATGCATATATGGATATGGTTGGGCCACCTTCTTACCAGGGTTTCTTAATCTTCACTGATAAGCTACTGAATTAAAAAAAAAAGCCACATGGCTCCCTCCTCCTTTGCCCATACATTCCTATTGGCTGTCACTATTTTGTCATACATCAGCGGCTCCTTCAGTGAAAGCTCCCAAACAGAGCAATACTTTGAAAGTACAGTGGTATCTTGGTACTGGGAACTTGAGACAAGTGCCAAAACTAACAAGTACTAAACGATAAAGCACTTTCTATCGAGGAGTGGCCTAGCGACTTATACAAATTCTAGCAAGTGCGACAAGTTCTGAGCAAGCGCCAAGTGCTGTAACATTTTTCCTTGTCAAAATGTGACAACTGCAAAGTTTGATGAGTTCTGAAGCCAATGAGTACCAAGGTCTGACTGTAAAATGTTTTTTAAGAATAAGTATATGTTCATATATAATTTAGATTAAAATATTATATCTGGAAATTTAATCTTCAGTGGATAAGGAAATTTCTATCAAGTAGTTTTTTTATGCCTCATTTTCAGAGGCCAGAGTTACAGCATAATAGCAAAACACATTTATGGAAAATTGCCAGGGGTCACTCCGCATTATTATGTATTAATTACTTCCCAAGGTGATATACTCTGAATGGAGGAATTTTGGCCTGTTTATTCTTAATATCTCTACAGTGGAACCTCAATCCTCCAACTTAATTTGTCCTGGAAGGCTGTTGAGAAGTGATTTGTTTGAAAACCAAATCTCCTTTGTTTGTTGCCTGAGAGGCCTGTGACTGACCACACAGACATCACTATGAAAGGGTTGTCAAGTTGACAACTGAAGTTTTTTTGTTTAACAACTGAGACAGTTTTCCCATGAACAACTTGGTCAAAAACCAAATTGTTCCACAAGGGAGACGTTCAAGAATCGAGGTATATCCTTTCAGTAGTTAACATAACATTAGACAGTATAAGCACTAAGCATTTATTGAGCAAACTTGTTATTACTTCTGCTTTGAATTCTTTCCAGGCCAACCTTTTTGCCCTTCTCTCTCTGGTACAGAACTTTGAAGCTTCAATGTCTTCAATCAGCCTTATGCTGGAAAAAGCCCCAAACTGTTTTTGAAGCAAGACTTGAGCCATGCCTGTTGCTCTCCCTCAGTCCAATTCTATTCAGAAAAAGGGCAGCATTTATCACAGTCTGCATATACTTATTTGCATGATTATTTGATCAATATATATTTCACTCAACTAACTCCATTATAACAGGGACAATGCTGGCTTTTCTTTCCATGGCATCTCTAAAACCGAGCATAGAGCCTGGCACGTTCTAGATGCTTAACAGACATTTGTTCAATGAAACATTTCCTGTTCAGGCATGTACCTTTGTTAAAGGTTTTCATCTTTATGACCATGTAAAGCCTTCCTCCAGAGTCAATCAACTAAGCTTGTCCTTGACCAGCAGCTGTATAATCTCAAACTCACTGATGCTTATTAATACTTTTAGAAGAGAAATACAGTATTAATTCATCCATTCATTGAGTACATATTTGAACTTCTCCTACCACGTATCACACACCATTAGAGATTCTTATCTCTGTCCTCACAGTGCTTGCATTCCATGGGAGGAGAGGGGAAGAAGGATAGAGTAACCATAAATAATAAGTACTATAGAAAAAAACTTAAGAGATTAAGGGGACCAGAGAATGCTGGGATGCAGGACATGAATGAAGTTTGCTATTACATAGAGAGCAGAATATAAGAATATGTCTAAGGTGTCTGTTATGGTGACATTTGAGCAGGCCAAGAGTACATTAAAGAAAGGAACAGCAAGTGTCAACGCCCCGCCTAGCAGGATAGGCAACGTATTCAACCTCTACCAGGATTTATTAACTGGGGAGTGATATTATCCTCAAGAAAAAAATCTGGAAATAAAAAGAGGCAGGTATTCTGGGTTTCCACAATGAAGTGGGAAAGGGGTGAGGAATGGAGAAAAGTTAAAAAAAAAACAACCCATAGAATTATAACAATTGCTTTGCCCAAAATACCTACTAAATTTTTGCTGGGGCTATCAATCACAACATATCTGTTATTGTTTTCAAATTGCCCTCAATATATTACCAAATGTCTATCAACAAAATATTGCATAAGTAACTTAAGATATAGTCATGCAACAGAATTATATCTGATGTAAATTTAGTTTACCCTAATACAACTGTATTTTTTCAGTCCCACCATTTTCTACATCATGCTGGTTCATCATGTGTTACTGGTGATACACTCTAGGTCTCAGGTCAATTCAGGTGATAGTCCATTACTGACTCCTTTGCTCCATACTGCATATAAACACCTTGGAAGAGAACTGGCATACCTAGACTATCAGATCAATTAGAAAATCATTCTCTCATTCCAGTATGGGAACATTTCCCATGTCCCACTTGCTTTGACTGACAATCATCTCATGTTTTAAGACCAGCTCAAAAGATACCTCCTCCATGAAGCTTTTCCCAACTTTCCCAGTTGCTTGCTTCTCAGTACTACCATAAACAATATGCTCCTCTCTCCGTAAGAAGTCTACCAGACATATCATAAGGTTTTTATTTCCCTGCTTTGCCTCCAAACTAAACCATAAGCTCTTCTAGGGCAACAACTAGACCTTATCCATCCGTGTTTGTATTCCGGCACCTAGTATAGTGCCAGGCGCCTAGCAGGAGTTCAATGGTTATAAAATGAATGGAGGAAGCGTGAAATGCATACAAAAAAAAAAAAAGTCAAATTTTAAAACGTACTTAGGTTTTTACTTAAGACCCTAGAAAACGCCTGAATTACTTCGGTTGAAGCAAGGAATAGTGCCACATAGCTGGTAGATGGAGAAATCTCCACTTGGGGACTTTTTCAAAGTATACATATGCTGAGAAGTGCCAATAGATGGTTTTCGATGCAATCCTGAGCAGAGGCAGGGAAAAGGACAAGACTTCCTGTGATCTCTTCCCACCCTAAGACCCCAGAACTCCCTTAATCGTGAGGTATCACCTTTGGGAACCCAGGGATCCTAGATGGGATCTCACCTTCCCGTTTGTGGGAGGCTCCTGAATGTAGATGTTGCTCATGCTGGTTAGTGGTCAGGACACTGCTCCTTATTCTGGATGAAAGAAGATGGGCGATCTCTACAGTTATCCCCCTATCACCCTTCCTTGAGTCGGGTGGTCGCGAAAAGCTCCAGTCTGTCAATATACCGAAAGAAAACAACACCAACCACTATCTTTTCCCATAACTAGCCCTCACGGACGGCGCCATGTTGCTCCTGGACCTGAACACCGCTAACCCTGAGAAGGGGGATTCCAATGACCTCCAAGGAACGTGAAAAATTATTAAGCTCCTATGTAGATAACTTTAATTTGTATTAAAGATTTAATAAGAACGATTCTTAAGTTTGGGGGTTGTTTACTTCCCTACATGCGTGCGCAGTTCTCATTCATACCCCGAAACTGGCACTAATGGTTCGGACCATGTGTGTTCTGCAATTTGACTCCCCCGGAAACTGCATCAGCGGCCACTTGGTTCCGCTATGGTTAGAGTTTTAGAGGGCCTTCCGGACTATCCCTGAGCTGCGGCGGCTTGGTCGGGAGGAAAGACCACCTTCGCTGAGCGTTGCCCTCGCAGCCGGCGGGAAGTGAGCGTGCGCTCGAAAGCCTAGGGCTCCTGCGATCCTTTTTATCAGCTCCATGGCAGTCCCAGGTGAAGACCAAACAGCAGGGCCGCTGGGTTTGAGCGATGAAGGAAGCGGGTGGGGTAGGCTGGGGTGCGCTGGGGTAGGGAGTAGCGCCCATGGGCACTTAGGCTGAGGCGTTAAAATTAACAGATTCGTTTGGTTTACGTGAAAAAGTTTACACTTCAAACATGAACTCTGGTAGAAAGAAGGGAACTATCTCCCCCACCCCAGCCAAACTCCAACTGCATTGGATGGATCACAGGGAAAGTGTAGGATCGGGAGGCAGTAACTAGGCCTCGCTGGCCGGTGGCCGGGAAAAACTGACTGTACTTTGATATAGCTTGAAAATAAAATTTGAGGTGGGAACACGTGATGTACCCAACTAGCCAGAGGCATTGTCTGTAGTTGAAGTCGCAGGGACAGAATGGGTATCTGGGGTTCTGCTTCTCTCTTCCTGTTTTATGTAGTTGTTGTGTGGCCTTGCACCGGTCGCCTTGCCCAATGGGGTTCAGTTTCTGCGTCTGTAAAAGATTTACCAATGTATGTCTGCGGTTACTAACAGCCCTCAGATTCTATACCCAGTGGGTACCGACCGAAAAACAGTGAACCTTGCGAAGGAAGTGCTTCAGAGATATCCCGTCCACAACTACCAACTTCGTGGGAAGTTCTGGTAGGGAAGGGCATCTCCTTAAATCAGTTTTGCCTTTTTTTTTTTTTTTTTGTACAGAACACTGCTTGCAGGAGATATTTTGAGAAATGTACCCCCTACATACACACGCATACATGGAACTTGGAGATTGACAGTGCACTTTAGCATAGAAAAGACTGAGAAGCGCTGTGGTTCAGAAGCTCAGTGTTTTAACCTACCCTCCCCAGTACAATTTGACCAAGATTGTTCTGTGGCAACTTTTTCTGAACTTTATTTTACAGATAACTGTTGTGGAAGGTTGTGCTTTTCTACCAACTGTAGTTTGGGGAGGAGCATAGGGGGGATTGTGAGAGAGGAAAGATACACTCATTCAAACACATTATGTTTTTATAAGTGCCTACTTGAAAAGCTAGATGCTTTGCCAGGCATTGGGAATATGATGGTGAGTAAGATGGTTATTCTTTTTTTTTAAGATTTTGTTTATTTTTAGAGGGGAAGGGAGGGAGATAGACAGAGAGAGAGAAAGAGAGAGAGAGAAACGTCAATGTGCGGTTGCTGGGGGTCATGGCCTGCAACCCAGGCATGTACCCTGGCTGGGAATCGAACCTGGGACACTTTGGTTCCCAGTCCGCACTCAATCCACTGAGCTACGCCAGCTAGGGCGATGGTTGTTCTTCAAGCAGAATTTACTAAATAGCAGTGAAGAGTGAAAAACTACAGGAAACTCAGACTGGTGTATGGCAGGGAAAATACAAAACCTACAAAAGGAGCACACAGTAAAGGCACCTAACAGGAAAAAGGAGGGGACAGAAGGACTTTGCAGAGGATGTGGAACTTAGGATGAGACCTGAATAGTCACAGGAGGGCTGGTGCGGTGGGAGATGGGGTTGCAGCCAGAGGGACTGAGTTTGTAAAATGTAAGTGGAAATGTATGAGAGGAGGAAATGAAAGACTTTAGTGTGGATGGAACTTGGAATGTAAATGGGAGAGAAGTGAGAAATTAACGAGAGAGATAACAGCAGCTGAGACTTGGGAAGCATTTACTGGGTGTCAGATGTGTCAGACACTGTGTCAGACATTCACACCCACACTGTGAGCTAGTGTTAGTGTTTCCACTTTATATGAGGATACTGAGGGACAGGAAGTCAAGTAACTTGCCTATTATAAGACAGCTAGTAAGTGACAGGTCAGTCTGGCTCCTCTAGACCCTGTGTGCTTTATACATTTTCCCATGTTAAAGTATAATTTACAAGGTAGTTTCCAGCTCTTCAAGGACTTCGTAAGCCATGATAAAATTGGAATATTTTCCGAAGAACAATAGGAAGTCACCTGAGGGTTTTTAAACAGATTTGCATTTTGGAAAGATCTTTGTGGCTGCATAGCTTGCAGGGAAGCTTGTTTGGAGGCGGAGACACTAGTTAAAAGTAATTCTCATATGTTCAGATAATGCCTCAGGTGTGGTATTAGCAGGAAGGGAGAGAAACATAGATTGGAGGTATATTTTTGGTGGTAGAGTTACTAGGAATCGGAGACTGAGTCAACATAGGGGATGAGAGAAGAAATGTCTGGGTGCGACTAGTTACTGAAACAGGCAAGCCCTGACCAAGAAGGACAGTTTTGAGGGCGATGATTTTGGTCTGGGGCCTTTGCTGAGGTGTAGTCAGACGTAGGACTGGCAGTATCTATTAGACAGTGAGAGACACAGCTTGTAGTTAGGAGAGAAGCCAGAGTTCAAGACAACAATTTGATGTCGTCCATACATGTAATAAGCACTAAGTCCCTGCAAGCAGATTCCTTCACTCAGGTGAAGTGTGTGGAGAATGAAGGGAAGGCCTGTGTCGCTGAAGCTTGGAGAATATCAACACGTGAAGGGCGTCATAAAAACCAGTGCGCACAGTAGACTGTTTGGGCGTTGGATGGGTCAAGTCAGCCCAGGCGATCTCTGCGTTGCAGAGCTGCATCCAAAGTTGACCTGTGGCCACTGTCGTTTTCACTGTTTAAGCAAACATTTTGAGCACCTCCATGGTGTGGGCAATCTGGGGGACACAGTGTCCCAGTCTGTGCCCTCATAAAACTTGTGTAGGAATGAAAAAGTGCTGCTTGAGAAAGAGGGCAGCAGTGATTTTTTTAAAAAGTCCTTGAAATTCCCTTAAACTTAGACCAGTGTTATAAAAACTTAGACCAATTCAAAATAATGTGTTGAAGTATAATAATCTTAAATTGTGCCATTAAGCTAGATGGTAAGGCATAATTGAACTGTTTAAATCCAGCAAAAAAAAAAAAAAGGAATAATAGGTATGACAGCACTGTAAAAGTATAATAAAAGTACCATTAGCAAATACAGATACAGAAAATGGTTAAGATAATTTTTTGATCAATCTAGATAGTGATTTGAAGGAAAATAGGGTTCCATCAGAAACACTTTGAGATAATCATCAAAAAGGACAGGTACTGTTATGCTCTTTTATTTTTAGGTATAATGCTCATATGGATTCAGCATGGCATTTCCTGGGCGGTCATGCTGGAGATTACAAGGTATTACTATAAAGTAACAAGGCTGCTTTCCACAAAGGAAAACTGGCCTCATCTATTTCACGGTCACCTTCTGCAGCTGCTTTTCCACAGCACTGTGTATCAGCTTACACTATTATGTAGGTAACAATGAAGTGTGTACTCTCTCAGGAAGGGAAGTCATAGACTCTTAGTTGTTATTAAAGAAATTACATTTAAACACGGGTGTCAGTGAAGTTTACTTTCTTTTACAAACTGCTTTTCCTGCTCACAGTTGTTTACATTCGTTCCGACACTCATTTTAAGTCTCCGTTTCCCATGAAGAGCTGGCCTGGCACAAGTGGCAGTCTGGGTTGCTGATGTGCTTGGCCCAAGAGCTCTGTTGTTCCTTCCTTCTGGGAAATCTGTGTAACCAAGGCAGGGTTTTCTGTAGCCAAATTAACAGTTCATCTGGCATGTCAAAAGTGAATCAAATTCTTAGCACACATTACAATAGCATCTTAGTAAAAAGAATTCTGAATTATGCTGCATCCAGTTTCTTCCCTCTCATAAGCTGTACTACACATAGTTTCTTTTCTCTCTAGTCTATGATACTGCACGTGGTTGAAATAATTTTTCTAAATCATGTATTTGATCTTGTCATTCCTGGGAGGATTGATTCATCTCTGAATTTTCTGTTTCTCTTCATATGACTTAACCTTTCTGAAGCTCGGTCTCCTTGTCTCTATAATGAAGGAGTTGATGATTAAGCCTTCTTTCCCTTCTAAACCCTTGAATGCCAAAGCTCCCCATCTCTGCAAGAAGGAAGTGCATGCCCCGGAGCATGGCCAAGTCACTCCTGCTACCCTTTCTTCCCACCTCGCCGCTCATGCATTCCGCAGTCTAAAGACGTGGCCAACTATTCCCAGAACCTCTCACGGGCTTTTCTGCTTACATACTTTTGTTCTTACTGTCCCTCCTCTCCTGTGCAGACTTACCTGTGGGAAGTTTTCCTGATCCCTCAGTGGAAAGTCTCACGCCAGTTCATCCTGCTTATTAATAGAGCTATGTGTCTTTTATACTGGCACGTTCCAGCATGTATCACAGCTGTGGATGCATTATCCTAGACAACCTAGTATATTGTAGTTGCCTTTAACATAGGAACTTTATTCAACTCTGTTGTTTCTCTAACATCATTTCAGAGTTAGACCCTTAATAGGTAAATAATGCTTAAGAGGGTTGATTACTAGAATTGCTGCTGACTGGAAACTAGTACTTAGACCGAACTAGACTGAAATCTTGATTTTGTTTCATTAGATAATAAATTAAACATCTTCATGTCTCTTTTTATTTTAAAAAACTGGTAATGCCTATAATGTTTTTCTTCACAGGTTACTTGTATTTTCTGAGGCAAGTGGACGAAAGCATTTTATACGTTTACTTAAGTGTTAGCTCTTCCACGTTAGTAGTTTAAAATAAGCAACTCTGATTGATTTAGTTTTATCTCTTCTTTTGGGTGTCAAATAAGATTATGAAGACATTTTTAACTTAAAAGTGAGGACATCCACTCTTTCAGAATATTTATACCAAGGAACTCATCTAACTTTCTTTTAGTTCACAAAGAATTTTTAATTTCTGCTCTTCTTTCCATTCTTCCCTCAATACATATTTGTTGCTATAAATTCTTTATATAAAGCAGTAAAAAATGTTAAATACTTGGAGTTTTCTTTGCATTCAACTTAAGTAAAATATATTTTATAGATACTAGCACCTATGTGCTATAAAATATGGCCACAGTTTGAATTTTAAAAGCAGAAGACATCGAAGCCATCTTTAAGGGTCCTCACATTGTGATGACTAAAACTGACACGGGGTAACCGAGTGTAA